CTCTCCTCCGTCAGTCCTGCTTTTCTCTCTCAGCTGTTATGTGTGTCAAGCCTTCCTCCAGCAGCCACTAATTGTCTGGCCTTCAAGCGGAATCACATTCCTCTCCCTCCCCTGCTTCTCCCTGTCACATGGGAGAGAGGGGTCCGTGGATGTATGGAGATGCGAGCGGCAGTATGCGCAAGCGTGCGTGAGGCTGTGGAGTAGGGGGTGGGTTGCAGATCCCCAAGGTGGGCGCGGCTCCTCCTCGCCCCCTGCTGGTGATGACAGCTACTGAAACGAAATTTCTATAAATAGTTTTAGCCTCAGCTGTTGATGAGCCAGTCTGACCCAAATGATYCCCGCCAATTAATTGCCGCACGCCTCGTGTTCAGACACGGATAGCAGAGCGAATGGTGATTTATTTTAACATTTGACACGGTTCAGTTCAAATCTAATTGTATCTAAAAGCAAGCTGAATCAGCAAATTAGTTGGGTCTGGTTGTGATGCTTTTTATGGCACAGCTGTGTTTTCTAGAAATGTTCAAACACACAAAACAAATCAAAATGTAGTAATATTCTCTTTTCTTATTTCTATTTTTTTTTCTGTTTCATTGTCACTGTCCCCACTCCCACCCATTTTCTGACATGTAGCCATGCTGGATTTCACTCTCATGCATTCAGAATCATCATTTTTGTTTGTGTTTCCAGCTGCCAAAGACAGCAAGCCAAGTTTCCCAAGGTTCTCTCCATCCCCACCTCCCACGCTCTTCTCCTAACCTGAACCTTCATCCTCACACAGAATCCATCAACGTTATTTCCAATGATCTGTTTTTTCCATTTCTGCCTTAATGTCTGAGGTGTAGCAGGGTAAACTAGTCAAGTGAAGTCTGTGATGTGTGCTGCTCCTCCTCAGTACTGCTTTGCTGTAGTGTTGCAGCAACCAATGGTCAGACAGCAACTCAAGGGTGTGGGGGCCTGATTAATTTGTGGTGTTGGTCTGATTTAAATTTTTTCTCGTCTCTTTCTGGAGCTTATTTTTCAGCTGCAGCTGGAGCTGAGCTGTCTCCACAGCTGATTGAATTTGCATGAATTACAGGGTTTGAATGTTGTTTGCAAACAACACCGATTATTCTTGTTGCACAACAAGTCAAAGTTAACAGAAATTATGAGCTGCAATGGTGGCTAAACTGGAATGACTGCGACAAGGAGGGTTGGGGGTACATTTGCTGGAATATTTAAAAAGAGAGAAATGTTTAGTGCTACTTCTATGCAGAGCCAAGGGTAAATTAAAATGTTAAACAATGTCACTAACACATTTTCATTCACTTTCTGATGTTAATTTTTTTCCCACTGCCATTTTATTGTCATTTAAGTCACTGTTCGTACATATTGCTAATAGCATTGATGATGTCATCATCCTGCAACAAACATCAATGCTAGCCACTGTTAACACTTCTATCGTTGCTGAAGATGGTAGCCTATTTAAAAATTAAATTCCTAATGTGACCATTCAAAATAATATGGATGGTAATTGTAGTCCGGCAGTTTGAAGTGCGGTTCGGACACCGGCTGCAACTGTAAGTTTGATGTCTTGTGAAGAAGCTTTAGCTGCGATGGAGCGTTAGTGGTGTGCTGTCATCTCAGGATGATGAGTCCTAACAGGTCACCATAAGCAAAGGCAGCATTCTATTTCAAAATACTTAAACGTAAACTTCAACATTTAAGATTTAACTTTTACATTTAGATTCACATATTTAGATGTAGAATTTATTTACATTTATTTTTTAAACATTCAAATTTAATGTTTAGCAAAAAAATTACAAAATGTAAGAACAGTGAGCCAAGTAACATAGTGATAAGGAAATTTTTTTAACACTCACAAAGTGAGCTAAATAATGGAAAATGTGTAAGTGACATTTTTAACAATTGACTTTACACTCGGTGGCCCATATACTTCCTCACTGGCACACTTCCTGGGGTGCTTTTTTAATTATTCTGTTCCAGACATCAATTACGCTACAGTATTTTGTTCTCAAAAAGAAGGAGACCAAGGAAGGTACTGAAAATATATTATACTTTGTGAAAAAGATTTTTTTGGTTAACGCTTTCTTTTAGGGTACCCTTATTACCATGTAATTACAAGGTAATAAAAAGCGTAATTAAATGTAATTACTACCTTATTACCATGTAATTACGTGGTAATTACGGTACAAAGGAAAAGCTACTGTTAGTAAACTACCTTTATTGGGTAACTACAATGAAATTACTATTCAATATTAAATCAACACTGTATTTATAACCAAAAGAATGCAACTACATTTTGGGGTTAGTGGTTAATTGCAATAAAATATAACTTTAAAACTGTCCAAATGACCTACTACTTATGTAGGTGTTACATAGTGAATTGTAATACATTACCAGGTAATTGCTACATTACTGCAGACAATTAATTACATAGTTAAATTTTACCCTAATTACCACTTAATTATATGGTAATGAGGGTACCATAAAAGAAAGTGTTACCTTTTGTGTAGTTTAAACAATCCTTTAGTTTTTGTCCTTGTGCGGAAAGTATCTCTTTTTCTGTCTCCTGTCTAAATACCGCACATTTTCATCGTCAACTGTTTGGTTGTTTTTAACATATTTAAGTGGAGATGGTGAAATAAGATGTTTGAAATGCTCTTTACCAAGAAATTGCCATGACAATACTAAGAAAAAGAACTGCTAACCTCACTCTGCACCTTAATAACTCTGAAAACAAACTGAATGAACAGCAATTACCAGTTTTAATCTAAAAGCTTTTCATGTGGCCCTGTTCTTGTTTCATATTTATCAACAAAAACAACATATACATTTGCCAGTTGTTGACTGACGTAAAACAAAGTGCATGTACTTTTTTCTGAAATAGCTTCATTTTGTAAAATGACAATGTTATCTTTATGATTTACTGTTACACAAAAAAGTTACATCTTAGTATTATTTCCAAAACTCTGATTGTAAATTTTCATTATAAAGTCACTGGGATCAAATCTGGAAAAATCACACACACGCTCATCCCAAAAAATAAATTTCCTATTTTTCTTCAGCAGGTTTTTACGTTTTTTTGTATTACGTTACATTTAAATTCACATCCAGTTGCTCTACAACTCTTCCTGTCAAATCTTCTGTYAATTTTTCAACAACCAACAGCAATGATGGTATGATCATTACTAAGATAATTATTAAGATACAAACCTTCAGTAATTAAAAATAAGTTGATATCATTTAGCAGTATTAGCAAGGCTTTTTTCATTTAATGAATTTTATTCCTATTCATTCATTTTGTGTTTTATTTTGTACAGGTATTATCCTGCTTCAGTCATTCTATTTTAATATAAATCAGCACACTCACTCAAGTCAAAAAACTACTTCTTTCCAGCCCATTTCACACTTGATTAGCACCAATTGTTTGAGCTGTCTTCAGAAATCTACAATATCCTGCATAATTGCAGATGTAACTCCACGTTCATAACAATATGTACAACCCTGGCAAAAAGAATGGAATCACCAGTCTTGGATGAGCACTCATTTAGATATTTCATTCTGTAAAACAAACTCAGATAAAAAACATGATACAATAATAAGGTCATTCCAAAGTACAACTTGTTGGCTTTCAGGAACACTCAGAGAAATGAAGAGAAAACATTGTGTAAGTCAGTGAATGTTACTTTTATTGACCAAGCACTGGGAAAAAAGTATGGAATCACTCAACTCTGAGGAAAAACGTATAGAATCATGAAAAACTGATTAGAAAAAGACCATTCAAAATACATCACTAGTATGTAGTTGCACCACCTTCAGCTTTTATAACAGCTTGCAGTCTCTGAGACATGGACTTGATGAGTGACAAACAGCATCAATTTGGTGCCAACCTTCTTGTGGACCATTTAT